CCGCTACTAACGACCATATCACCAACAATATGATTTTTATGTTCGACACATCAAATCATATTATCTACAATGTAAAATAAACGAACTATGTTCACATAAATAATATACTACAAACATACCTTGACTAAAAAAACACATATTCTATTCAAAATGGAATTGAGAGTAACCGCAAAGTCGAGCTTTTACAGTATACTTTAACAGTCGCTTAGAAATGAAGCAAGACAAAATAAATTGGAATTGTAATTTATTTATTTAGTTTCGTTATGTCTTATTTACTCTACATTGAGTGGGATATAACTAAGATTTGTTTCCTTATATACTGAAGGAACACGCTGAAGAGGATGTGAACGCGCCATGGAGATTGGAACGCGGCATGAGCACGTATGTAAAGAGAATCATGAAGATAATGAATGACATGTACAAGATATGCCGAATCTCACATATAAGGAAAGTCGTGTTTCTACATGACTTCAGACCTTCAAAGTTAAAACAGAATTCTAGAGATCTTGAACACTTGACAATAAAGAAAACTTACCAACTATGAAGATTTCTAAAAGCTTTACCAAAGAAGGACACACATATATGTTAGAATTCTTCACCACTGTATTGTAATGACGGAGAGAAAAAGAGCTCGAGACATTCTGAGTTTTTGAGAATTTAGTTTTGATTTTATTTCATAGTTTAAGTCAAGCTTTTAGTTCTTGTTTTGCAGGCATCAAGGTTGTCGTCTTCTTTTATTGTTTTTTTTACAATACTTGGGATAAATGTTTGTATATCGGTAGATGGATCCACGATATGCTTTGAAGTTCACGAATTTGCCAAAAAAGTAGCTCAAAAAGTAAAGTGTAGGGACAATTAGATTACAAGACAATTCTAGTATCGTAAATTTGTACTACACTACGTGTGAACAATCATTTTCCAGTGAAAGAGTTATGAGCGAAACAGACTAGTTTCTAAAGTTTATTTACTCGCTTCCACTTTAAAATTTTGTGACGTTACATTTCGGACAGTTCACGAGGAATCCTATAAAATCTTAAGTGTGGAGGTGGGAATTGAAGTGAGATTTTGTATACAGTTTTTTCTTTTAAAATCTCAACAAATCTTAAAAAATCATAACAAATCATAGTCTAAAATAATTTAAATATGTCATAATATTGTAAAACTTTTTAAAAATCTGAAATGAATAACTCGAAATTTTTAAAAGTATTAAAAATACTAAATTAAATAAACTAGCATTTGAGATGTCTTTAAAAGTCTTTATAAATACACAACCAACTTTTCATTTTCATTTTTTCCCTTCTAAGTTCTCAGTATGAGCTCCCACAAATGCCCAAGAAACACTCTTGAAATAATTTATTGCATTTAATGAAGTATATTCACTCACAATAACCATATAAAATGGAGATATATCATCAATGATATGTATATCTATTGCAATAATTTAGGAGGAAAATGTTTGGTTTGGTCCTTGGCTTGGTTCAACGGAAAACCATGTTGTGACAAGTTTTGTCGCACGGGTACGGGCAGTCGATCTCCTTCACATTTGCTCGATCGAAATACCAATCTCCAACAGCTTTTGCAATTGCCTGCATGTGTTGTAAGCAGAGATAAATACAAAAACCATGAAACCTCATCATAAACCATTCTTCAGGAGTTCACTTGGATCCAAATCTCAACTGTAAACACTATCACAAGTCTTAACTATCACAAGTCTTATGAAAGCTTTTTAAGTTTATTGATTAATGTTTTGTACCTTGTTGGCAAGGAGTGGAGAGTTCTTGGAGAACCATATGTCCTGCCTCTCAGACTGACAGTGAGAAAAACAAGAATTTATGAACAACCCACTTTGCCCATATGCAATTAACCCTTTAACTCCATTCAGCATACGATCCCTAAAATCTGTTCCGTAAGGTACGATTAGTCGATTGGTCTTTGAAAAATATCGAAAAAAAAAAGAAAGAATATTAATACAGAACATGTCCTTAAAAACACCAAACAGAAGCACCCACGTTGTAAAAATTTGATATTTGACGGCGAACATTTGTCGATGTTCTTTTTACACAAGGCAAAGGTACCATGAGGATCGGCTGATGCAGGAGCCAAGCTCTGTTGGACCTGAACATGGTCGTCAAGAGAAAAACAAAAAAAAATGTTCGTATAACTCGTAACTTTTATGTACTTACGCACCAGAAAAACAAAAAAAGAATCACTCACCTGCCATGTATCATAGGCGGCGTTGAGAATAAACAGTGGAGTTTTTATTTTGAGGATTAGATTCTCCGGGAAGAAGCACTTTCAGCAAAACAAATAAGATCAATTCAAAAAATAAAAATAAAAAATCGTAACATTTGGCTAACAGGAAAAGCTAAATCGACCTACCGAAGTTGGATCCAAGCGACAAGTTTTGGGCAAGTTTTTAGCAACACCCTGCGTAAAAAAAATAAAACCATTTACTAATCACTACAACTTTACTAAAACAAGTACTTATAAGGATTTAGTTACCTGCAGGCTGACAACACCTGCATAAAAATGTCTAAGTGTACGCCCGCCAGAAACATCAACACTGCAATGCCGTGAAAACGAGGTATGATCGAAATCAAAGAATACAATACAAACTCTTGAGTAACATAATATGGTAATTGACCAAGGCATATAATGTAAAATGTAGCATAAAAGAATTCGAAATTTACGCATCAAGAAATAATCCCGCATCACTAAAGCACTTCACTTTGGTGGTCTCAGGAAATAAATCTCTAAACTCGTCACAGTGTAATATAGTCGATAGTCCACCAGCCGAACAACCGGAGAGAAGGGCCTAAAGCAAATTAACACTACATATCAATTATTAAATAAATAAAACAGATTGATCATGTGATATTATTGATTTTACTTGGTCTGCATTTTTCAGTCCCTTGGACATTAGGTCTTCTATTGCAGCTTGCCATATGCGTTGCCCTCTAAATTGCAAACCTGCAGCCTAAGTCGACATGGTTCATATTATCATATCAATCACGCTTGTGTCTTGAACTTTATAAGGCTCTGGGCGAAAAATGATAGAATGTTGCTTTTGGTTTATTTCATTTTTTAAGTTAAAAAAAATAAAAAAAAATAAAGTTACTCGCCATAATGAAAGCAGTGAAATTTAAAATAAAAAATATAGCTAAATTTGATAAACTTTGAGAAATTTCTTAAGAATCATAGATGAAAAGAAAAGATATATTCATTTCCATTCAAAGAAAAAAATACGCAGTCAAAACTTCAAACTTTCTTTTACTTAAATATATGACTTAAGTTTGGTGAATTACATAATACTCTGTCATAATTATACAATTTTTTTTTTTATTGAAAAATATGGGTTTTTATTTTATATTTAACAGAGTTAAATAACAAATTTAAATTGAAACTCGTCTGACAATGAGTTGACTTCACCCAACTCTTTTGTTGATTATCACTAACATAATTGAATTGTGCACATAAAGTAACATTTTGTATACTCAAGCAAGAACATAAATTTAACAAAGCAAGAGAAAATATGCAAAAGGTTTTTAATTTCACTAATAATAACTACTATTTAATTTTGTTCATTTATTTTTATTTTTTTTAAACGATAAATTTTATATCAAAAAATATAAAAGTTTTTGGCACTGAGCCATACAAATAGAGGAGCTCAGCTCCCAAATAATAATACACAAGAATGGTTGCACATAGCAAAGATGAACTTTATAAGGTGAATAAAATATATATATATATAAAAAAAAAAAAAAACTTTATGTAAAGGATAAAAATATTAATTTTTACACCTTATTAATTTCAATAATTTCAAAATCACTTAAAGAATAAAATAAAACCCACTCATGGAATAAAAAGTGATGGAAAGATAATAAAATATAAAAAAAAATGTAGGGAAATACTAAAGTTTCGTTACGGAACCCTTCAGTTCGGGTTTGTAACAGTTAGATCATCGTGTAACCGTCAAAAATAATTGATCCAACGGTTACAAATCCCGACAAAATAGTTCCATAATAAAACCGTAGCATCTTCCAAAAATGTAAACCTTGTTTTCGCTGTCTCCGGAAAAGGAGCCTCCATCACAATAACGAATCTTTACTCTGTTCCAATTAAAAAAATCTGCATGCATAACATTTGAACGAAGAAAAATTACTCAAAAAAAATAAAAAAAAAAAGGTTATTCAAATTAAAACCTGAATGAATGTTTGAAATTCGAACCTGGGTTTTGCGAAGCCTTGTCGCTGAGAATCCCGATGAATGGAATTTCTTTTTCGAAGTACTTTGAGGAGCCGCGGTTCGTATTTTTGCGGTAACGGCAGGTTCTTATGTTATTGCACCACCCCCCACCCTGCCCAAAAATAAATAATGATATAGTCTTCAAGTATATATGAACAATTTTCAGAAAAATTTATCAAAGGTGAATTCCGAATCGTTCATATTACTATAGCATATCAGTCGTATAATATAATTGTCGCATATTCACGTTAGAAAGTGCGAAAGGTTCTTCGCAATTTTAACTTTCGCATCATGTCGGTCGCACAATTATTGCATGATGACCACGTAATGTTTTTGTACTTTTATGTGGTGAAAAAGTTAACTTGCAATCCAATAGTGTGAATAATTTATTCATTTTTTGGAATGACTTATTCATTTCACGCTGATGGATTAGGAGTTAACTTTTATATGTATATTAGTATCTAATAGACTTTATTTATGTATGTAGCTTCTACTTCTCTAATCTTTGTTTTGGTTATTAGTAGGGAGTTTGAGCGTTTAAGGAAAAAATAGAAGCTGGGGTCGAGGAAGATCGTATAAGAAGATCTCGACTTCAAGATTGGATGATCTTGTTTAAGTCCTGATGAAATCATAAGGAAGGAAATCGGCTCAAAAAGAAAAAATGGAACTGAAGACTCCTTACCTTGAGAATGTTGTATATAAGCCTACACGACGACTCAATTGAAGATTGCGCCAAATAATCGTATATCATCATATTCTTAGACTTCACTGAGTGTTTGTGAGTGTTTTGTTTTAGTCTCTATTATGTTCAGTAATTCAGTGTTCTTATAGCACTGAAGAACTGAATTTCTTATTTATTTTACAAAACACTTCTAGTGCCTAGGGATTAAAAACTTTTGTAGCTAGGAGGGATCCAAAGCTATTTGTGGAGTGCACGTTAGGTGACCGAATAAGTAGTTAATAAGGTCGGATATAGTGATAGCTTGATTAGGAGAAAGTCCAAGTCGTGTAAGTTCAAACTGTAGTTTGTGAGCTCAAAACGATCTATTTATTATTATTGTTGTTTTTTTTTCTTTTGTGTGTCTTGAAACGAGTTACAAGTTCATGTGAAACATTAATAAATGAACGACTTCATTCTCATTTCATCAGAAGCTCAAAAGTTAAATAAGAAAAATTTAAGGGCTATAATGAAAGACAAACCTCTAAATTGACTATCCAATTATTTGCCCCTGATCCAAATCCACGATGCAAGTGATAACCGGGTAATGTCCCATCCAGACACACTTTTGCAAAATTAATCCAAAAGAAATATGTTAGTGTTATAAGATAAAGAATGTCGATGATTATCTTACCAATAGAAAATACCACAAAGTCCAACCTAGCACACGAATCGAGCCGCTCGCGAGCGCTTGAGTCAAAATTTGGCTCGAGTTCGAGTAAAGTGTCGAGTTCGAGCGGTTCGAGCACAAACTCAAGTCGAGCTCGAGTCCATATTTTGCATTGTCGGGCAGCTCGCTAGCAGCTCGAGATATATATGAAATTATTAAAATACCATTTATATCTATGTATCACAATATCAGTATATGTACTTAATGCTAATTTTACAAAATTGCTTGAAAATATTTGAACCGAGCTCGAGCATTTTGAATTCGAGTCAAGCTCAGGCCGAGCTCAAGCTCTTGTATTTTTTTTATCGAGTCGAGCTCGAGCAGCTCAAAAAAGATTTCAATCTTACTCGATAAAGTTAATACTCGACTCGGCTGGTTTGCTGGCAAGGTAAATGTTATTTATTTGTATTTATGGTTAATTAAATGGTGGTCCATTGTTTAATAAATGGAAGAATAATTCCAGTAGTAAACATAGTTTGTCAGTATTCAACGCTCATAATTGTATTGATGTGATCCAAAATTGATGATTGATAATAAAAGCTAACTCAATTGATTTTCATTGAACACCACAAAATTTAAAAAACAAATAATATAATAAATTAATTAGTGTTACTAATGACTCCACCTTTTAACAAAATTGTAGAATTCAGTAGACTAGTATCCGATCATGTGCGCGTGCACAAATGTAAATAAAATATTATAAGATAGTTATGTATATAATATTAAAATTATAAGTTATATAATAATAATATATTTCAAAAACTTGACCATTAGTAAAAATAAATAGTATAAAACTATTTAACTGCATATGAACACTTTTGATTGGATAAAATGTAAGGAATAATGTAATTATTATAACTTTGATGGATCATGACCAATTAATTAGTTGAAAAAATATTAAATTCACTATTTTAAGGGGGCTTGGATATACCATTAATACCAATTAGTTTCCTTAAAAATAACCACTTAATGAGATAATAAAATAATAATATTAAATTAAAAATAAAAAATTGAAGAAAAGAATATACAATATGTATATATTTTTTTTTTGTAACTGTCATATATTATTCAGTAAATTTAATTGTGATTTGTAAAGATTTTTAAAAACTTTTTAGGACTTTAGAGATCTGAGTGTATTTAGTTTAGACTTTTCAAGACTCTTAAAAGTCTTGAGCTATTCAATTAATATTTTAAAAAGTCCTACAAAATGCTGAAGTATTTAACTTATTTGAGACTAGGATTTGTAAGGACTTTTTAAGATTTGCTAGGATTTCTAAACAAAAAACCATACACAAAATCTCACTGCAAATCCCACATCTAGACTTGGTATTTCACAGAATTCCTCTCAAATCTGAAAATCTCAAAAAATCTTAAATCTTAAAAATTTTTTCATTGTCACTCGAATTCCGAAACGAATACACCTTAGTTAGTTTTAATAATAACAAATAATATAATAGAATAGTTAAAAATAACAATAATATATATAGATTGCATACACCAAACCAATCTTACAAAAAACAATAAGATTTACAACAAAATGATTGAAATGAACACACAAAAAAAGTGACCAAGAACACATTAAAAGTTCAAGAAACAATAAATGATTAAATCAACCTGCAACACCATAAACAGAGAGAGAGAGAGAGAG